CAGAAGCGATGAAGGCTATATCAGCGGCGGTTATCAACTGATCCTTAGGAAACGTGTGGTACAGGGGTTACGTGACACCTTCGACATGTACAGAAGATTGAAGTGGGTGCAAGTTCAAGACTGCGTAAACGGTATTATTAGCGATCTTCGGGGTGAAACAAACAGTCCTCCTTCGAACACGAACCAAGAAAGTTTTACAGAGGCAACCGGATCTGAACCACCGTTTGACAATTTTAGTATGGAATTCTGTGAACTACAGCGATGATCGTAAAATTTGATCAAATGGGCTGTATAATTAATGTATATTTCTGTTATCATCGTATTTGTTTTATTAGTTGTTATTTGATTTTTCCTGTTACAAACCTATGATTTTTCAAAATAAAAGCCAGATAACACCAAAAATATTTATATTCATTTGTTTATCGTTCGGGGGTCCCGGATACACATGTATGGGAAGGAACCCTTGACAGTTACACGACACTACATTGGCGTTCAGAAACGTAGGCCGTTAAATTTAATATGCCTTAGTCGTCTTCAAGACGGGAGCTGCGGTTGCTCAGTGCACAAAGAACTAGGTCAATAACTGATTCCGGTCAATTCATTCCATTTCCTCTTCAAGTCAAGACATTCAACTTGAAAAGTAAAAACGTAGGCCGTTAAATTTGTTCTTATGTTCGAATTCTATTAGGATTTTCTTTTCATCATTTGTCGCTGTGATGGCCGAGTGGTTAAGGCGTTGGACTCGAAATCCAATGGGTTCTACCCGCGCAGGTTCGAATCCTGCTCGCAGCGTCGAATATTTTAAAATTGGGCAGGTAGGTTAACATAACGCATCACCTTGGGTGTTCAGATACCAAATGGACACAAACACATCCCAGAACACTATATTAAAATGATCAATTTTAAAGATCAGCCAATCAACAAATTTAACAGGAAAATTATAGATTATTATAACCTTTTACGGAACCTTGGGTGTTCAGATACCAAATGGACACAAACACATCCCAGAACACTATATTAACATGTCTATAACGTTTTATTAATCAAATGATCATTTTTAAAGATCAGCCAAACAACAAATTTAACAGAAAAATTATAGTTTATTATAATCCTTTTACGGATCTTTCTATCCCGTAAATTAAATAAGTTTTTGTTTAGGTGCGTATTTGTTGAAATTGAGATTCTTTAAACAAAAGGCTATGATTAGCTTACAAAGTAAGAAACGAGTAAACGAGAAATATTGAACAAATCATATTCAAAATATCTAAGTCTATGATCGCACACTTTCCGAATGAATTGAACAGTCCTTGTGCAAGGATTAATTAATTATTGGCTCAAAAGTCAAACCGTTCTTCCCCTTTATTAATCAAATTATCATTTTTAAAGATCAGCCAATCATCAAATTTAACAGAAAAATTATAAAATTTTTCTACCCTGTAAATTAAATAAGTTTTTGTTTAAATGCTTATTTGCTGAAATTGAGATTCTTTAAACAAAAGTCTATGATTAGCTTACAAAGTAAGAAATGTGTAAACGAGAAATATTGAACAAAACGTATTCAAAATATCTACCAATGTCTATGATCCAACACTTTCCGAATGAATTGACCAATCCTTGTGCAATCAAGGATTAATTAATTATTGGTTCAAAAGTCAACCCGTTCTTAAACATCGATCATAATACAAATGGTTTGGTTTGTAACTTGAACGAAATAAGCGGGTTATCATTTTATCAAGATACAAGACGAATATCGCTGTGAGGTCGAAATCTCAAAGAAGGAAGGCATATAGCAATCAATCAATAATAATCATATGCAAATGGTTTCTGTTATAACGTCGATCATATGCAAATGGTTTCTGTTATAACGTCCATCATATACAAATGGCTTCGTTTGTAACGTCAAAAAAATAAACGCGTCGTCATTTAATCATTGGGGATCAAAGACGAATATCGCGGTGTGGTCAAAATATCAAAGAAGGAAGGCATTAGCAATCAATCAATCAATCATATGCTAATGGCTTTGGTTAAAGTCGATCATGTACAAATGGCTTCGTTTGTAACATCAAAGAAATAAACGCGTCATCATTTAATCATTCGAGATCAAAGACGTAGATCGCCGTGAGGTCGAAATATCATTACCAATCAATCAATAATGATCAAAGTAATGACCATCCTAGATGTTTACACAGGGAAGAGCATCGGCAACCATTAAAGTAAAACCTTATCATTACTTTTGATTTGTGAGTAAATTCAGAAAACTAACTACACTATATATAACCAGTAGAGAAAGTACTGAGCATTAAACACTTCTGTTCTTTAATCGGTCTTAGTCTCATTATTTGCAATACGACTGTTGTTCAGAATGGATAGTTTGACGGCGGCAATTAAACTACGATCGCTTTTGAAAGTGCACGATCACAGTGTGCAAAATCTTCAACAATTAGGTGTGTCCATATATTGATTAATCTATTGATATCTGGCAATATCTGAACGGGTTAACATAATTATATTCTAATTGGCTATTCTTTTTATTACCATCTTTTATCTAATTTATCTTTGCAGATGAACTGTTGCAGTCACTTAATTTCAAGATTTCTTCCAGAAGCGATGAAGGCTATATCAGCGGCGGTTATCAACTGATCCTTAGGAAACGTGTGGTACAGGGGTTACGTGACACCTTCGACATGTACAGAAGATTGAAGTGGGTGCAAGTTCAAGACTGCGTAAACGGTATTATTAGCGATCTTCGGGGTGAAACAAACAGTCCTCCTTCGAACACGAACCAAGAAAGTTTTACAGAGGCAACCGGATCTGAACCACCGTTTGACAATTTTAGTATGGAATTCTGTGAACTACAGCGAGGATCGTAAAATTTGATCAAATGGGCTGTATAATTAATGTATATTTCTGTTATCATCGTATTTGTTTTATTAGTTGTTATTTGATTTTTCCTGTTACAAACCTATGATTTTTCAAAATAAAAGCCAGATAACACCAAAATATTTATATTCATTTGTTTATCGTTCGGGGGTCCCGGATACACATGTATGGGAAGGAACCCTTGACAGTTACACGACACTACATTGGCGTTCAGAAACGTAGGCCGTTAAATTTAATATGCCTTAGTCGTCTTCAAGACGGGAGCTGCGGTGGCTCAGTGTACAAAGAACTAGGTCACTAACTGATTCCGGTCAATTCATTCCATTTCCTCTTCAAGTCAAGACATTCAACTTGAAAAGTAAAAAAAGAAAAAAAAGAAAATGGAATTACGACACACTATCCGGTGAAAATAGTGACGAAGCATTTAACACATTTAAAACGGAAAAACAACACAGCCCTGTCAAAATTATACATGTATTAATTGTAATCTATTTATGTTTATTATTATCTTCATTATAAATACCGGTACATAATTCCTATGTTAGCATTGTTGACATTATCCAATTGTGTTTGTCCATTACATCTAACGGTCCATAACGTGTTTGTCCATTACATCTAACGGTCCATAACGTGTTTGACCGTTACCTATAATCAGGCCCGTAGCCATGCAGCCTGTTGGCTGCAGAGGGAAAGTGAACTTTTAGTGGCATTGGAAAATTACATCGGTTCGCGATTCTTATTGTCAAACGAGCTGGTTGAGTGAGAAACGAGCTAGAGAGAATTGGGATTTAACGTCCACTTGACACAAACTAGGTCATTTCGGGACTAACATATGGTTTAATTTTATTTACATAATTCGCTTGCGCGTAGGGATCTTTAGCAGTGGGAGGAAACCGGAGGACCCGGAGAAAACCCACGAGGTTGGATAGGCGACCCTACTCCTTGCCACGTACAACCGGGGATTCGAAACCACGCCAGTCGACTCAATGACAGACTTTATGATAAAGCGCGCGCACGCTAACCATTCAGTCATCCAACCCCCCGAGTGAGAAACGAGGACCAAACGGACCGCTACCACAAGAAATAGTATTTCGAGTTACGGATTATGGAAACATTTATGATATCACCTTCCCGCTGCCAACCCACCCAAGGTGGAATCGTTGATATCAACTTTTTTTTTCTGGCCAATGTTCCTTGGGGTCCTCCTAATTAATAATTTCAAAACTCATCGAAAAAAGGCCACTATTATGTTTCTTTTTTTTTTTTTGTTGGTTTTTTTTTTGGGGGGGGGGGTACAAAACATTGTCACCAAATCACTGGACCCCTTTTGGTTTTGGCCCCAGGCATTGGCCTCTGTTGCCCTCCCCATGATCCATAACTGGTTCTCCCCAAGAAAATTTTGAAAATTGGACAATTAACAAGACCGGTACCTGTCAAACAGAAATACATGTACTCTTTCGGGTTACGGGCTATGAAAACATTTCTGATATAACCTTCCCGCTCAACCCAAACAAGGTGGAATCGTTGATATCAATTTTTATCTGACCTACGTCATAATTTCAAAACTATGTTTCACGATTTTGGGGAAATGGGTCTTCATGATCGGTCATTGGTTCTCCCCCTGAAAATTTTGAAAATTGGACGGCCGGACGTGTTTTCCAGCCCTAAAAACCGTTCTCTAACGAACTCGATGAACAATTAACATATGGTGACAAGACAGTACGTCATTGGGTAAGTCAGTACAAAATATTTGGCATATAGATGACAGAACATAACGAATAACATGGGACTGGGTGCAAGGTGCCACATCCCCAAATCAATACTACATATGTGACATGATGATCCCTGACTGCTGCCTATTGCAAACAGTAGGTATTCTAGAACTATATGGTTGGCAATATTTTTTCCGGGAGTGGGCAAATCACTTTTTTGGGAACCCCTCCCCCCCCCACCGGCTGTCTACGGAGGTGCTTATTATAGACTACATCTATCTTCATTCGTCAATTTGGTGCAGAAAAGTAGGACATTAAACGCCATTTCATTTTCAGATGCCACTGGAAATAAACTAGTAGGGGGGGAAATTTTGCAGGATAATCGAAACTACACGAAGGGAGATAACTCTTAGTGTTATTGATAAAATGACGGAAAAAATTGTTTTTGTTTTTCTATGACAAAATAATATGGATTTAGAGAGTTGGAGGCGCCTTCAAAAGAGTCCGAAATGGTAATTATGGTCGTAACATTATTTGTACATTGATAGTTAACCGTAAAGGTGGAAAACCCTCGAACTAATACGATAAATCTTGAAAGAAAATATGCTGCTATTTCTTTTTAGCTGTTTCGTGATTATTATGATGATGCAAAACTGAAAAGTGACAAGAAGTTCATCTCTCATGTCAATAATTTTCAACTGCCTTATCAAGCAATAGTCAGTATCATTTATACCATGTATTAATGTGTGGACATTCAGTAAAAGTCAAGACAAGTCTGTGTTATTATGATTTATAAAGTTCAGTAAACTTATTTAATTAAATAAAATAGGCTAGATGTAATGGTTTCAGCATTATCTTTCTACAGCCTTGACATTGATAGAGCCATTTGTCAAAATAAATTTAGTAGTCACAGTGCGATGTAGCCTACATGCTCGTGATCAGTTTCTAAAATGACACTAAGCAAGCCTTTAGTGCCAAGCAGATGAACAATTTAACGGACAACCCAAAGCCAACCTATATCCACCTATCATATTTGTATCATCAAATGAACAAAAAGCTTTGCTAATACATGTACATGTAGCCTATATTAGTTATCATTAATTAACAGATTTCAATCATTGAAATCCTCTTTTTTTGTTTGTTACAGGAGGCTAGAGTTTACAATTTATCAGGGAGATATGGAGAGTTTCGAATATATATTAGACACAGAGAAAATGGACACTGCAACTATTTTGGAATGTTGTGCCACAGCTATTTATGAAAACCATATGAAATGTTTACGATATCTGATTGAAAAAGCCAAATGTTCAAGCATTGATATCTTTACCACATTCCCTGGCATTATTGCATTTTTGTTGCATTGTGCAATTGAGGTTGGGTCCATTGAAGGATTAAAATACTTAATCTCTGAAGGAGCTGATGTAAATAAACGTTATTATGAATCTACGCTTCTGCATAAGTCAGTTCTAGACGGGCGAACTGATGTCACAGAATTTCTTGTTAGTTTACCCCAAATCAACAAAAATCAAGTCTCCTCGAAAGGAAGAACGCCTTTAATGGATGCTGCTTTCTATGGATCTGTCGACTGCTTACACATTCTCATCGAAAAAGGCTGCAATGTTAATTTTACAAATGATAATGGTGTTGGAGCTATTCATTGTTGTTTTAGTGAATTGGTAGATAGTAAAAGTCGTTTAATGTTATTAATTGCACTGGTTAAAGCAGGAGCTAATATAAATCAAGCTGATAGCCTGGGCTGGACACCTTTACATTATGCTGCATGGAAACGCTGTTTAGATGCTGTGACCTTTCTTATTTATCATAATTGTGAACTGGACATGTTGTGTGCTCCAGTGTATGGAACTATGCTCAAAACTAATCTATCTCCCCCATTTCTCCTGGCACTGGAAAGAAAATGTTTGGAGGTGGCGGATGTTCTTGTTAAAAGCGGTTGTACTTATACAAAATTCTACTGGGCCAAGCAAAAGTGCAGTAAGGATGAAAATGTCTACAAATGGCTGAATAATTTGTATGGGAAAGTGCCGTCCCTGAAAAGTTACTCCCGTAAAATGATACGAGGAACATTAGGTAAAAATATACATAGTAAAATAGCTCAGTTGAACATACCAGATAGTTTGAAGCATTACATTCTATTAAAAGATGTTTTGCCTACTGTTGAAACTGTATATTTACACTACATAGGGTTAACGTAAAACTGGGTAAACTTAAATAACTGTCTGTTTTACTGAGCTTGAAATGAACAGAAGGGTGGCGAGCATGTCATCACTTTCATAAATTATATTTAATATAATTACTCACAAATATTAACCCTTTAGCTCTTGGTACATGTAAATATTGAAAAATATTAGAGAAAAGTGACATATTAATATTGGTACCGGTACATCCCTGAAACAACCTCAAACCACCCTGAATATATGAATAACTTTCCACACTATAGGACCATTTTGCATGCGCCACAGCTACATGTACAATGTATGCATCTGCTAGAAGGTTTGGGGTTGTCTAAGGGGCCCTAGTATTGAGCGGTCTAAGCGCTAAAAGGATTAATGAAGTTTAAAAAAATTTCTGCAAGTGATGAACTTCTGAATCTTATACATTTTCTTGTGTGTTGTGAGCATGATTGATTAGTAACACGTCTATTGGCAAGTCCTCTTAAAGTAATCTTACAATAACTTTAAAGGAACAATGTGTCTATCTCCCGAAACTGCAGCATATTTGCACTTTTATATTTCTTTTTATATGTTTGTTATATATGTATGTATATTTTGTATTTTGAATTACCCTGACATTTTTAACCATGCAATATTGATTATTATTATTTCAGTTGACATATTTTTGGGTACCTGTACCTTGATTTTATGTACAATATACATTTTCTTTCATATTTCTGATGCAGTGCCTTGGATACTTGTTACTACATATATGTTCTAAACTTTTTTATGTTTTGAAGCTTTAATAATAACCCAGCTTTTATTTATTAAAGGGAAATAACTCCTCCATACACTGAATCATTTGTGTATGTTAACTATAAATACGTTGGGATTAGATATTAACATGTTTTGTGTATACAATATTATGGAAAAATATCCTGTAATATAATTTCAAACAACTAATTTTATAACTATAGATAAATTTTGTACTTCTTACATGTATGTACTCTTTCGATCCAAGATTTCACAGAAAAGCTTAACTCTTAGAAAAATGGGTATTCAAAAACTGCCACAAAATTCAATGGTTACATAATTACAACAAATAATATTATTTTGGATTGGAAGCAAATTTAAATACAATTTTTGATCAATATAGATCATCTGATTTGTAGATTGGAATATGAATTGCAATGTGTAATCCATGACTCAGACAGTAATGTATAAAGTAATTTTATGCCTATTTTATCCCCACCGAAAGAGGTCCCTTACTGGCTAACTACATGTATATTGTACCACACACCTTTCTATTTGTTGTAATATCATTTTACAGTAAGTTGTATCATGTTAAAATGTTGTATATATTTAGAGACCCCATTCAAGCCATTGTGCCATATTCCATTCAGTTAAACAATTACCACTGTATGTTTTGCTCTACATGTACACATGCAGATACAATACACTTATAGATTATGAGTAAAAAATTTCAATGTTTTCTTGTAAAAAGCACTACACTGTGGAATACTGTGGATCATACATGTATCTGTCAGTTCAGTTGCAGGTACCTCACAAGATAAACTGGGTTGTGTGTCTATTTCTCGCACTACCACAGGTTCCCATTAAGCAATTTATTTAACAATGCAATTATCTCATGTTAGTCCCAAAATGTTTTAGTTATTGTTTAGTTTGGATGATACATGTATCTGTCACAATTCAATTGTGGGAAGGTTGTGTGCCAGGCCTCAATGGTGTTCTCTGGCTTTATTTGGTTTTCGCGAATGACCACAGGCTCCTATCTGTTTGCAAATTACTTAAAAATGGAACTACATATCATGTTAGTCCCAAAATATCTTAGTTATTGTTGAGTTTTTGTTATATACCCACATTCATTATTAGTAATTCGCAAAGATGATAAAGTTTTAATTTTTTTAATAAAGATTTTGAGTTTAAGAATACTTGCTCAAAACAGCTTCTTCCATGGCCTCCATACTTTGGTTATCTGTAATTAAGAGTCAATAGTTATTTTAAAAATATTATATTTAAAATTATTTGCATTTAGTTTCTAAGTGAAATGATAATGCAATTATTAATTTCCACCCCATCTTTATATTATTACACTGTCAGTGTTATTGGACCTACTACTGAATGATATATTGTTTTATTTTTGTAATCCATGCTAATTTAACATGGTGTTTTGTATTTTATATTAAATGTTGTTCTATTTTTGCCTTTAATCCATTACACAGTTTTTTTACATACATCTATTGTGGAATATTTTGAGTGTATTATGTTTGTTATTTTGCACATGAATTTGTCAAATTGTGCTAGTGAGGTTTGTTAAATGTTAAATAAAGGTAATAAATGCTCATTTTTATCTGTTGACGACTATCACCCAACTGGTACAACCATGTGTTTAAATTGAATCCCGTTTAAACGACAAAAATGAATCAATGCCCTTCATAATTTAGACAGATATTTTGCATTGCCAATTTCGCAACATTCGGCTTCCTCTGGTACATGTATCTTCTGATCAGAAGTTTCTAGCCAATTGTTACTGAACGTTAATTTGTTACAATGATATAACGGCGGCGAGAATTTTACTGACCTGGTGGGATTCTGGTGTTATATAATATTAATCTGATAATATCGTATTGCCTTTTTAAGCCATATAGTCCTGTGTTTGATTCAGGTTTTTCCTTGTCAGTGGTATAGGATAAAGGGCCTGGCAAGGAACATTGTTGGGACAAAAATAATGAGGTCCCCTCATAGCATACTTTCGATCATAAGGTCTGTGATTTTGTAAATTGGTGTTGTTTCGACTCCAAGCATGTACATGACAAAAATGAGCAGAGTTGCCTGTTTGATCTTGTGGGGGTTTTCCTCACGCTACAAAATTATTGAAATACAATTGTACCAGAAGTTACTTACTTTAAAGGTTATAAATTTATCATAAATTTTACATTTTTAAGTCAGTGTGACATGGTATACATATTGTTTATTTCATATGTTTTGATTATTAAAAAAGCAGTTGTTTTACATACATTCAATATACAAAACCTGTCTGGATAAAACGGCAGTAGCCTCCTTTTATATTGACTAAATGTTGGGGAAATGGACTTCAACATCCTACTCTCTGCACCAACTGGGTTAATAAAGATGGGGGTTTCAATCATATTTCGGGGGGTTGGATGGCCGAATAGTTAGCGTGTTGTATCATAAGGTCTTTCATAGGGTCAACTTGCATGGTTTCGATTTCCCAGTTACACATGACAAGGAGTAGGGTCGCCTGCATAACCTTGTGGGTTTTCTCCGAGTCCTCCAGTTTCCTCCCACTGCTAAAGACCCCTACGCACAAATGAATTATTGAAATAAAATTGAATCATGTGTTAGTCCTGAAATGACCTAGTTTATGTTGAGTGGACTTTAAACCCCATTTCTCTCTTGATCATATTTTAGAAATACAATGTACGAGCGGCTGCGATAGACGAAAGTAATGTATACAATGGTGTGTTATAGTATGTCAGAACCAATCAGGATAGGGTGGGTGTGGATGGCTGAATGGTTAGCGCATGCGCGTTGCAACATACGGTCTGTCATTGAGTCAACTGGTGTGGTTTCAATTTCCCGGTTGTACGTGACAAGAAGTAGGATTACCTGTCCAACCTTGTGGGTTTTCTCCAAATCCCCCGGTTTATTCCCACTGCTAAAGACCCCTACGCGCAAGCAAATTATTAAAAAATTTTAACCCTATGTTAGTCCCCAAATGACCGAGTTTGTAGACGTTAAACCCCATTTCATAATACATAAAATAAAAACAAATATTAAATTAAAAAAAAACAGGCATAACACAACTTTAATGCGTATAAATGTCTCATAGTCACTCAACTATGCTTCGCTTCGTTAATGATCATCAGAGGTTTTGCTATGATTTATTGTTCTTCGAAAGACGGGTCTATTAAAATGGGTTTGACTGGTTGATGCTATGGGACACGATAACGTTAGTTCTAATTAAGTGAGAGTGACAAAATTTAGTGTATATTTCATTACATCAATACCTTTACCGAGTTCGATAATGAGCATTTTCTGCTAAGGGTAAGCAGAGCGATAAGCAATTTGATTGGCCAATATTTTGGAACAAAATAACTCTCCTTCGAATTGAGGTAGAATGTTCAAACTTGGTGTAGGCGTTGATTGGGTGAATGCCCTGATGAATTTTAAAGAGGACAAGTTCTGCTTAGTGTTGGCAGAGATAAGCAACTTGATTGGTTGATGCTTTGGGATACGATAACTTTGGTTCTAATTAAGTGAGAGTGATAAAACTTGGTGTATACTTTCATCACATCAATACCTTGACTAAATTGGATTATGAAAGCATTTTCGGCTCGGGGTAAGCAATTTGGAGCTCGACAGCTTTGATTGTAATTGCGTGATAGTGGTGAAACTTCGTGTATAGATTTATTACATCAATACTGTTACATGGTTCAATGTTGAGCATGTTCTGCTTAGGCAGAGTAGAGACTTCGATCTGATTGGTCCAGACTTTGGAACACAATAACTCTCTCTCTCTCTCTGTCTCTCTCTCCCTAATTGAGTTAGAATGTTCAAAATTGATGTAGGTGTCTATTACGTGAATACATTGACATAGTTCGTTCATGCGCATTTTCCACTAAGGCTAAGCAGAGATGAGCAATTTGATTGGTTGAGACTTTGGAACACGATAACTTTGGTTCTAATTGGGCGAGAGCGATAAAACTCTGAGTATAGATTCATTATATAATACATTGACTAAGTTTGATGGTGAGAATTTTCTGCTTAGGCTAAGGAGCGATAAGCAATTTGATTGGTCAAGACTTTGGAACATAACAATTCTGCTTTTTTAATTGAGGTATAGATGTTCATTAGGTGCATGTCTTGACTGAGTTCAATGATTAATATTTCCCATTAAAGCAAAGCAGAGCTAAGCATTTCTTTGGTCGATGCTTTGGGACAAGATAACTTTGATTCTAACTGAAGGAGAGTGATGAAACTTAGTGTAGAATTTCACTCATTACTAGGTACTTCAAAACCTGGGGGGGGGGGGGGGCGGGGCGGCATCAGTCTCACCGTTGGCTTGTTGAAATTAAAACACAACTACCTACTTTGCACGGATCTTTAGTAATTCAAGAATTCTTCAAATGCGTAGGATATTTCATTGGTAAATTACATCTAGTTAATTATTATAGAATTTAATAGGTTTATTATCACATGTCAAAGTCGATACAACAATTTTCAGCAACCGATTCCCTTAGTTAGGGTTACTAGGGTATCCCATCATATGATAACATTTTCTAATATATCGATAGTTTTGCCACAATATTCATATTATAGCAGCCCCCCCCCCCCCTCAACCAGTTTCTTATAACTATATAAATAGTCACATTGCATCTAATAAGTTATAACCATTTCAAAGCAATAACAATAGATGGTCACGACGACCGGACACGGGCATTAAACTGCTAAGCACATCTTAAAATGATTTGAAATTAGTCATGATCTCAGACGACTGACAGGACTAGATTATCAGGATTATTTCACACGATAAAATACAGAAAGCTTGGCCCTAATTACGATCACCATATATACATATGAACATGAAAGATGTGTTTGTATTCAGATCCGTAGTCATGGAAGAAATCGAAGTTAAATGGTTGAAGATAATGAGAGTAAGAAGATCTGATTTATTTCTAAAGTAGGAGGGGGGTTGGATGGCCGAAAGGTTAGCACGTGCGTGCTGTATCATAAGGCCCGTCATTGAGTTAACTGGCGTGGTTTCGAATTCCCGGTTGTACGTGACAAGGATTAGGGTCGCCTGTCCAACCTCGTGGGTTTTCTCCGGGTCCTCCCACTGCTAAAGACCCCTACGCGCAAGCGAATTATTGAAATAAAATTAAACCATATGTTAGTCCCGAAATGACATAGTTTGTGTCGAGTCGACGTTAAACCCCATTTCTCTCTCTCTCTCTAAAGTAGGACCTTAATCCCAATTTCTTTCCTAGCACACGGAGAATAATAATATTAATATGCCCATTTATATAGAGACCGTGTCTAAAAATTTAATCCAAATAAGTTTTCAAGACAAATTTGAGTTTATGGAGTGTTGGACTTATGCGAAAGTTTGACGGTAGTTTTTACCACTTTGTAGATGCAGCGACTTGGAAATAATGGATATAGCAATGTAGAATGCTTATGTCTCGACTGTATTCGTTGTGCACGTCAGTTGACGGTGTCCGTGAATGGTAACGACATGGCTTTAACTGAATTCAAGTGGCTTTATTTAGAGTTTAGTATGATTATACAGTTCCAAGAACATAAGTAATCAGTATAGAAATAAAGTTATAAGAATATATAAACACGATTATACCCCACGATTACATATATTTCTTCTATCAATGGGCAGAAAATAAATTTAATCAGTGATGGTAAATGTGTAATTTGGACCAGACAAATGAAGCAAGATAATGCTTCATTATAATTCTTCAAGACAAACTTGTCAAGAAGCCAGTAATTGTTCCTGGACTCCAAAATACAACGTGATTAATAACAGACACATTCTTTATACGACGGATTAATCAATTGATTCGTAAGCTGGATCTAAATGCCGTGCTATGTAAATGAGAAGATGTATCCCTTGTGATTACCGTTCTTGCATAATTACACGCAATCTTCAGTATCGCGTCGACGTCAGATCTTAAGATTTTCCAGTTTTTACAAGACAGGCCATGGTAGTTAACACGATAAAGAACAAGCTATACAGCACACGACAGCACTATTAGTAATGCTGTTTAAAATGGTGTTCACAGTTTACACCTAACTAGTGAAAAGTTAGAGGGGAGAAACGATGAATTTTAGACACGATTTGGAGCTGTGGGTACAATATTCACATAACACAACAAAAAGGGAAATTTTATGGAACACCATTAGGGTCAATCAAATGAAAAAAAAAATATTCTGATTATCTTATAATTACAAGATACGGAGAAGCCCATTAGGGCCAATCATATGAAAAAAAGTGTTCTGACTAGTTTATTTCAGGCAAGCTAGCATACAATAAGCTCGCATATAACAGTCGGGTTGCCAGTTCGTGATATCCTGACAATTTTGCCCATTGCTTGCCCCATTGGTGTTTTTTTTTCGGGTAATCCAGTATTTTTTCCAGTAACATTGGGTGTCTATATATACCAAATTTGCCATACTTTTATTCCAAATAACCACCAGATAAATACTCTCGGGACAATGTATCTTTAAATCCACGGAATGCCATTTAAATTTTTCAGAAAAGTTTGTTAATCCAAGCCTGAATGTACACCAATAGATCATTAAAGAAATCAAAATCAAGATAGCAAGGATAGATAATTTGCAGGCTTGGATCCAATCGAATTAAATAGAGGCGCATGAAAGAGGTTCATCGAAACCTAAAGGGATATGGACGAAACGGTGCTAATCCAAAACGACCAAAACTTATACATGTATGACTGTTTCAAGTTAACACGAACTAAAACAAAACTGTGATACAAATTTACCTAAATATACGTCAGTGGGTTCTTATTAAAGGGCGTATGGCTCTATTTTTTTGGAACCTTGAAATATATATTATTAATGTATTATATTGTAATTTCTAATCAATTACGTTCGTTGAATTACGCGAACAGTTCAAATTGAACGGCAGTCATTTACGCCTGCTTAGAGCATTCTACACGTTTCTTAAATTATTATTTTGTCGTTAGCTAAAAACGCGATTTTCGTACAATAAGGGGCCATAATCCAGTAAGTTACGATCTGATATGCGCAAATCGTGTACCGATTATAAAATGTTAATTGTGTCTTAAATATTGGATATTAGGATCCTATAGCTTCAGGGCAAGATAACCTCAATATTGATAGAAATTGATTAATATTGAATTCTAATTCGTGTTTAGAGACTTAGCTCCCTTAAACATACATTATGCAAGTTTCAAATCTGACCATTGAAGGTCTTTCTTTAGGCCTCAAATATTATATACACA